TATCTGTTCTTGGTCTTACTGGGGTGCCTCCTTTCTCTAACAATTTCTCTTCCTCGGAGGCGAACAACTTCAAACTTTGAGCCAACCATTTTCCCCAGTTTGCCTGAAAAAGTTCTAGGAACAGGCAACTTGAAATAAAAACAAAATAAATCAAAACAAGAACACATTGTTTTTTGAAATGGTCACCCATTCTTTCGCTCTCCTTCAGGGGCGAGTAATTTCACTTACCTCCAAGTTTCAGGTGTTCCCCGTCCTGGCCACCAAATGCCTCAGTCTGGCTGGGCACAAAATCACGAGCCACCACACACCTTGTAGATTCAAACAGCAACTCTTTATTCTCGAACTGTCACCAGCACTTTACACACACGTTCTGGGCAAATCCACGTTCTGGGCAAAATCCACACACTCCACCAGGCTCTGAATCCCAAATACTCTCTGAATCCCGCGAGAACTCAAGGGGAACTCAAGGAGCGGGTGTGCCTGAGGCAGCAGGATATGCCCTATTCCCAGCAGGGTACACCTTAAACCTGGAACTGCCCTAAACCCAAGGAGCAGGATACTCCCTAATCCCAGCAGGATACACCCTAAACCTGGATCTGCCCTGGTCCTTGAGCAAGGTCACCTTACATGCAATGTCACTGCAAATGACCTGGGTCATGCCATGCGTCATACCTACTTGGCAATTGCTCTCAGCATGATAATTTCAAAATTAAACATTATTATGGAATTAGACTAGAGGGAGGAAGCATAAATCAGTTGATCAGAAATGTACAATTGGAAAAGACCTTGTTACCTAAACATTTTAATAAGAAATGAAAATATAGAAATTATATAATGAATGGTATCCTTGAGGACAAAAAAACTGGATGATTGAGGACTCAGACTGGCTTTATAGGCTTGAGTAACAGTTTTTTTTTTCTTTTATATGAAATTACTAAGCAACTGTTGAACAGATACTTTTGTTTTTGTTTTTGTTTTGGTCCTGGAGATTGAACCCAAGGCCTCGTGCATGCTAACCACATGCTTTACCACTGAGCTGTACCCCTATTCCCTGGTGTGTATAACTGAGATCAGACCTAGCTGTGTTAAATGAATAGTCTACATATAAAATCTAGATTATTATTTTTTCCCTAGGTGTTACTACTCAGAAGGCAGAGAATTTCATATTTTATGTTTTTAAATAATAATGGCATATTATCTATCTTGAAGTCATAGAAATTCACCTGCTGTAAACTTATTTCATTATATGTTAAGACATTTCATTTATGAAGAATTGAACAGATGCCCCGTCAATGTTTTCACTTAGTAGACCAAAACCACATTTTGCAACATATACTTTTGTATATCATAGTCAGCAAGGAGAATGCTAAATTAATGACAGATGCATTGTTTGGAAGAGTACCAGGTGTACAATCATGTTTAATACCATCTATTATAAATACAGTTTCAAATGTTCATATCAACTTTAATAAAAATCTAGAAGTATTATTCTCGTAAGAGGATATAGGAGTTTAATTGAAATATAATACATTATTTACCAATGATTATATGGCACTTGGAGGAGAGTGATGAATTCTCATTTTGACTCTCTGAGCTATATTTGAGTCTATATTATGACAGACATATTAGGAAAAATATTGTATATCTGAGATCAAAACTACATGGAGATTTTAACTCACTCCATTTAGAATGGCAACTATCAATAATACATATGGAATTAAATGCTAATGAAGATGTGGAAAAAAGAACACTTTTACACTGTTAATGGGATTTATAAATTAGTACAACCATTATCAAAATCAGCATGAATGTCCCTCAAAAGACTAGGAAAGGAACCACCATATGACCCAGCTATTCTATTCCCTAGTGTTCATTCTCAATAAGTACTTTCAGGGTATTATAGCCATACATGTATTTCCATTTTTTACCAGCACAATTCACAATAGCCAAATTATGGAACCAGTGTAGGTGTTTATCAACAGATGAATGGATAAAGAAAATGTGGTGTATATACACAATGGAGGAATCTAGAATGGAAGAAGGGAAAGCAGGGTAGCAGGGGTGGGGGCAATAGTTCTCATGAAAATCAAAAGGAGATTAGGAGAATAGAGGAAAGGGACCAGCAAGAGGGATGAGGAAGGAGAATGGAGAGACACTGGGGGATGCTGTTGTTCAAATTATATTATTATATTGTGTGCATGTATGAATATGTAACAATGAATCCTACCAATATGTACAACTATAATGTACCAGTAAAAAAAATAAAAAAAATAGGAAAAAAAGACATAAAAAATTTCAGTTTGATATGGTCTAAAAAATAAAACATTGTATATCTGCATGGAAATTGTATTGGTTAAAGTAAACTTTTCTTCTTCACTTATTTTTTCCTTCTTTGTACCAGAGATTATTTTAAGATGTATACAGGATAAAACAATAAATCACCTTTGACTTCAAATCTGTAATCTTCAAAATTCTTTTTAGATTTTTATTAGAAATGTGCTTTGTAACCCTGGAGTGGAAGCATTTGATGTGTCACCATTTTCATTGTTCTGAACTGTGTATAGCTCAGCAGGAATAATGACATGAATAATTTGACTGTTCAGATGTGAAATCAGAGTGAAAACTTGTCAAAGTTTTTTACCAAAATTAAATGTTCCTAATTTAAAATGGGTCAGAGTGATATTTTTCTGCATTTTATTTATTCCATCCCTGTTTTTACAATTGGTTTATTTCTGGATCATTAAACCACAACTTCAAATAATATTTATTAAGCTTCTGCTTATAGATTCAGAATATCTGGTATACTATAGTGGTTAATGAAAGAACAAATGCCTTCCTTAAAATAATAATAATACATAGCTCTTTAACCAAAAACATTTTTATGTGTCTAATGAATACAACTATGGCATTTCTACATTGCCTCCATCCATATGATTCTCTTATCTCTGCCATTTCAAATTCTAAAAATCTGTATGAAATTTTAAAGGTGCTTCTAATTCATTAGCAGACATATTAAGAAACTGATTTATTCCTTAAGAGACACTTCTCAGAAGATGATGTACAATCAATCAACAAATACATGAAAAAATCTTCATCATCACTAGCAATTTAGAGAAATGCAAATCAAAACCACTCTAAGATTTCATCTCACTCCAGACAGAATGGCAGCTATTATGCATACAAACAACAATAAGTGTTGGCGAGGATGTGGGGGAAAAGGTACATTCATACACTGCTGGTGGGACTGCAAATTGGTGCAGCCAATATGGAAAACGGTATGGAGATTTCTTGAATAATTGGGAATGGAATCACCATTTGACCCAGCTATCTCTCTCCTCCTTCTATACCCATAGGACTTAAAAACAGTATACTACAGGTACACAGCCACATCAATGTTTATCTCAGCACAATTCACAATAGCTAAACTGTGGAACCAACCTAGATGCCCTTCAATAGATGAATGGATTTTAAAGATGTGGCATATATACACAATGGAATATTACTCAGCAATACAAGAGAATAAAATCATGGCATTTGCAGGTAAATGGATGGAGTTAGAGAAGATAATGCTAAGTAAAGTTAGCTAATCCCTAAAAAACAAATGCCAAATGTTTTCTTCAATATAAGGAGGCTGATTCATGGTGGGATAGGGAGAGGGAGCATGGGAAGAAAAGACAAACTCTAGATAGGGCAGAGGGGTTGGAGGGGAAGGGAGGGGGCATGGGGTAATTAATGATAGTGGAATACAATGATCATTATTATCCAAAGTGCATGTATGAAGACATGAATTCCTGTGAATATACTATGTATACAACCAGAGCACAATGAAAACTTGTGCTCTATATATGTAATAAGAATTGTAATGCATTCTGCTGTTATATATATCAGCTTTATTGCAGATTAAATTTTATTATATACTTTAGATAAACTGCTCTCAGATTTATTTCACTGTGAGGATGTGGAAATTAAAGTTACAAGTTGTATCATTTAGATAAAGGAAATGTATGGGTAAGTTTTGGAAGAAGCTGATCATTAAAAGGAAGAGGAATAAGATGGAAACAAAAAGGCAAATTGCAAATGTGAAATAGATTATCTAACCATGTTAACTCCCAATCAGAAAAATACATCAAACTATTATATTAAATTTTCTTTTGATTCTCTTCCTAGTTAAGAGTTTAGTTAATGCCTTTGTTATTGTTATCTAATTAATTATCTAGTTAATGCCTTTGTTATTGTTATTATTAAATCTATTTTTCTGCCCAGACTGTATGTTATGTCTTTTGTAGCTTATTGGTGATGTCACCAGATGGTATACCAAAGTAGAAATTTTGTGATAATTCAGTTTTGCTCATCTTTCACTGTGAAACATGATAGAATTGATTGAGACTAGTATCAAAATATAGGTGTCCTATGTCTTTAATCTACACACATTAGTTCTATCCTCTATTAAGAGGAAACAAAAGTTAAATACATATTTTTCTAATGAATTCAGGAGACCAAAATTGTTTTACACATTCCTTCAGTCTCTTAGAGAAAACTAGTAAATATTTCTCAAATTGATTGTATGAATACTAAATATATCTATACAAGTTTATAATTAGCTATTATTCAATTATGAAGGGAAAAGTTAATTTTTCCTGTTAATAAGATCTTACATATCTTCATTTATACATTTGTTTCCAAATCCTTCCCAATGTTTTACTCCCTTTACCATAAACTTACAATACAAAATGAGTTATAATTTTTAACATTAATTGCACATCAAATCAAAAATGTCTGTCAGACAAATCAAAGATGTCTGTGAGAGTTTTATTCTTGAAGAAGTAAGAGAGGAGAAGTTGACCTTTGTGTACCAAGTTTATGGTTATCACAACTGGGAAGAAGTTTGGAACTATGTGTCCCTGAATTGCTCTATTTAAACATACTTTGATATTTCAGATGACTGTTAGGCTCGAATTATATATAAGCATAACTCATTGTCTAAAACTGTTTCTTTCTAGGCAAACAGGATTATAAAAAAACCAAACCTATTTTACGAGCAACCAAATTAAAAGCAGAAGCAAAGAAAACAGCAATAGGCATAAAGGTAGATCACTATTTGATAACTTTATAATTTCATATGTATATGCCATTTCATTTTCTAAAACTGGATTGCATAACATTGAATTCTAAATGTTTTATGACATTTCAAAATCTAAACACCATGCCAGAATTGAATTTTTGTAAAGAATTTAATTAATGGAAAACATCCTTCTTAGCCTGAGATTTTTTTTTGGTGGGGGGTAGTGTCTTAAAATGAAACAATGTTTCATAAGTAAGCCAGTTTTTCTTAAATTTGTAATATATTTTTTCTCTAACTACTATATGTATTGCTCAAACATTTCAGTGATGTATGTGGCTTTAGTCAAAAACCCTTCTTTCATTTTCAATGAATTTATTTTTATAGTTGATTAAGGTATAGTTGTAATCATATATACTTAGATCATAAATACATATATATATAATTTTGTTATTTTGTTATTGTTGCCAGTATTCTATGTTGAAATTCTAATGACATTCCCAAACTTATCCTTTTAGAAAACCAGTTTATCTGCTTAAGAGGGATAAATGCAACTGAGAATGATGTTAACAGATATTAATTCAACATGCTAGCACAATAAAGTTTCACAAAATTACATTTACATTATTGCTTATGTTATATATTTTTGGCTAAGTATTAGAATTGAGGTAAACTAACTAGAAAAATTAATTTGGCAGTCTTACTACCAAATGTGTAAAATAAAAAATGACCAGTACATATATTTTATTTAAATATTAAAATGTTAAAAGGAGATTTTGGTTTTAATCTGGCAGATGAGAAATCAATTTTTCTAAGTTATAGCTTATAGCAAATGCCAAGGTATTACTACCAAGCTGTAACAGCTGTTGAACTGCCAGATGATATATTTGGTTGTCTTCCAGAATTTGCTATTATGATCACGAAACACTGCCTTCTTTTTGCTTCTGATTGCTGATTTTGATCAAGCATTGCCATGTGATGTGGTTTGTTTTCACAACACAGTCTCCTCAGTTAGTGCTATGTGTCAGTTTTTAATGAAAAAAAAATTATCTTTTTGTTGAAAAGAGAAATTAATCTTTTGAAGATTTTTTCTAATTTCATATGAAATTTCATTCATCCTTTAAATTATTTCAATGACATGACTTTTCTAAAATCAATGCTTAGATTTTTATTTTACGTTCCGTTACTTGATGATTATCTATTCTATTAAGAGCCTTTTGTCATTGTCTTTCAGGGAAGTATGTCACGTACTTTTATCCTTCACAGTGCAGTGGAGTTTTTGTTTATTCACTTGTCAGGAAAATTCTGGTGTAACAAAATTCATTTGTGGCAAAGTTTAATTAGCAGTTATATATTAGGAATTGAGAAATAGTGCAGCCATTCAATTATTTGTATTTCACTCTTTTATACACATCCTTTTTTTCCCATGTGCTTTATAATTTTTGTTATTTTTTTTAATTTGGAGAAATAATTGTGATCCCAGTATGAGCTTAAACCTCCTTTATAATACAATTATCCAATGTCCCTTTATAAACAATATAAAATTTATCTTCAAAAATGTTTTAATTTTTATATTTATGAATGTTTATTCTTAGACTTCATTTACAATTTAAGGTATATATAGAAGAGTTTTTGACATCAGAACATAACTCCTTTTTAATAAGCTAGCATATCATTTTGATTTGTAAGCCTGTGAGAAACAAAGAACTTAACTTTAAATATTGTTTACTTAGCTTGAAAATTTATGTGAAGGGCCCATTAAGATGATATGAAACTTTTTAGAATCAGAACCATGAAGGTGTTTTACATTTCAAATCTGGCATACTAATTAGTTTGCCCTGTCAAACTTTGATTGCCTTGTCATTTTGGCATAGGATTTTAAATAACGAAATTTCTTTCAGCAATTGCCATTTAATGCTTTTTAATTTCCCTAGTGAGTGATTTTATCCATATTGATAATGTCAGAGAAGCAACTAAGGACTAATGAACATCAAACATGTTTGACTCTTATCTAGTTGATAGAGAATGACCATAATATTATACTATTTTATCACTTTACTACTTACTCCTTTGAATGAATCATAGTTTTACGCTTAAATAATTTGAATCTACACAGAGTATGAACAGGTGCATGAAATAGAAAAATAACACCAATGAAAACAACACTGAACGTATGATGAGGCAGCCTTGGATCACATCTTTTTTGGCCCTTTCTATTGCCATGGTCTAACTAATTCTAGGCTGCAACATTTGTAAACTGGAGATTATGCCATTTACCCCATATAATGTTGTCCAAAGAATTAATATTACAGTACAAACATCAAGCACTGAACTTATTACATGGAAGTAATTTATGAATAGTTAGCTGACTGAGAAAATACATGTTAGAATTAATAATATCTAGTTTGTATAAATAAGACTTCCCTAAAATGTTTTCCAGTCGCCTTCCCTTACTTAAACTATTTCTCCATTATGTGGTTCTATAATATATTAGGAAATGTTCTCAGATTTGTTGTGGGGATAGTATTATGGATTAGTGTTGTAATGATTTAAAAGCATTACAGAATTTTAGTATCCTTTGTATAAAGATTATATAAGTATTACTCAAACCATCATGTATTGAGAAATTACTATAAGTATCATAATATTGTAAAATCTATGGAAAGGAAAATGAGTTAAGTCATGATTTTCTTGAAAGAACTTAGACAAGAAATCACTTACATATTTTAAGTATCACATTAAATCAAGAGTACTGATGCAAATCACAGTATAGAGATATAAAGAATTATACAATAGAGCCTTTTATGTTTTTAATGTTTTCTGTAAATAGACATTTAATAATAGAAAATGTTTTGGGGGAAGAGTTAATGTTTTCAGCATAACGTATGAATAGATTGTGTTAAAATCTATAACTAATTTACAATTGAGAAGTCATTCACTTCTTGTGTCTTACAAATGTAAATAAAATGTAGTACATTATGACACAGTAATAAAATAATAAAAACTGTGGGGTTGAAATGAATGCCATCTAAAAATATTTGCATAACTATATTTGCTATTTAGTTGCTGTTCAATTAGAAAATTATGTTTTAAGAATTACAGCGCCACTAAAAATTTTTTTTAGAATGCAAATATCTGTGATTCCTAGCATGTTGAAGGAAAAGAATCTAAAGTTTTTAGTTAATTTGCTGTTTAAAAGGTTTATTCCAAAGGCACAATCATAATAAAAATAAAGATCAAAGTTTTGCTACATAAATAAAATATTCAGTGTTAACCAAATCCTGCCAACAACCCCTTGAGATGAGCAGCTTGAAATGTTACATTTGTTCTTTTTTGTTATTTCTGAATTAAAGCTAAAAATGGCCAAGGGGCAGGGAAGTCATAAATGCCTATCAGTCTTTTAAATTATGGTTAGAGTCATCAGCATCCTGAAAGCATTATTCTCGAATTTCACAATTTTTTGATTCCCACCCCCCAAACTTTTTTCTCTATGTGCTTGTCTCCTCAACAAATCTTAGGACATTTTGAATAAAATTATTTGTTCTACCTCCCCCCCACCCAATGTTTCTAAACCATCCCATGCCATATGTAGAATAGACATAATTGAATTAATGGATTTTCTGAAGTTGTATTCTATGAATAGCATCTGTTTTCTATCCTTAAATTTCTTTTTCATTCCTCTGGATATCCTGGGAGTATACAGTAACAATAATTCAGAGTTATTTTAAGAATGAGAGTTGAAAAGCAGCAATTAAAGTTGATTATCAATAAGATGAAAAACATGGCCTCCAATCAAGAATAAAAACTTTATTTTTGCATTAAGCTTGAGCAAATGAAATGGTGACTGCTGTTGATCAGTTTTGTTGTCCACTATACAGAACAGATGGAGTTTGCAGTTGTGTGTCACTTGTTTATTACATCCTCTTAAAATTAGTAGCTGTGTAACCAGATGGGTCTGGGAGCACAGCTGTGGATATAAGAAAATAAATGAAACCTGTCTGCTGCTGCCATGCCCTTTTGAGATGCCAAAGTGTTCCAACTGTAACAAAGAAAAATTCACTTTCATTTGACATTATATTGATATATCAGATTTTAAAAACCAAGTCTTAAAAAAATTGACACTGAGTTTTTCAACCTCACAATTTTTATTATTTATTTTCATAGCTTGGATATGTAAATAAATTTAATTATGAACCTAAAACTCTGCATAAAATTATCTATTTGTAATCTCAACATTCAGATGAAAATTCCATGTTGATTATAAACAAAATTGATTTTAATGTTTTTAAAGTTTATTAAGTAGCATATTATTTTATGTTCTTACGAGATGTAAAATCTATTCATGTGAATGCAAATAAATTGCTTTTCCATAAAACAATGAGAGTTAAAGGATATGCTACATAAGTGAAAAAAAGAAAGGAATATCAGGTCCAGCATTCTATTTGTGCTTTTTTGTTGTTGTTGTTGTTAAGCCAAATGACATATTAATATTGAGAAAGTTTTCTTATAATACATACACACATACTTTTTGAGAATGAATATGACTTTTATAATATATATGGTAAAAATTTTGGTCATTTAATGTAGTTGATTAATGTAATCACCAAATTATTTAATGAAATATCTAGTACCATGCTACACAGTTGTGACAAATTGTACTATATCTTGCTTCGTAAGCTGAGTACCAAGTTTTTGATCACCCACAAGATAAGCTATAAGATTTAAAAGTTAAAATTTAAAATTTGAACAAGGTAATTATTGAGGATATAGATAGATACATAATCTAGAACCTGGTTATAATAGCCATTTTCCCACTAAAAATGGAATGATAAATTTTTAAAAAATTGTATGTGCAAATGCTATCACCAATAGCAAATATAATAATTGAAGCAACAAATGAAGTTAAGCATACTCAAATAGAAAAACATATAAACTCTATAGGCACAAACTACATTGCTTGCTTCCAACATTTTGATATATAAACTATGAAAAGTTATCAAAACAATAATTTTTAATTTCACTATTAGGAAAAATACTAGGTTAACTAAAAGTAATAATAGAAATGACTCACCCACTGATGTACTTGCCATTGAAATGGGTACTGACATGGGCAAAATAAGTTTCTTTATTTAATGGCAAAAAGTGTTGAACAAAAAGAATGTGATTATTAGATTCAAATTATTCATTCCACACTGTGGAATAATACAGTTATTTTATCTAATGAAACTTATGACATTAACCAGTCTCTCTCCATCAATTTTAAGTCTGCTTTTTTTTCTTCCCTAGGAAGTTGGCCTTGTACTTGCAGCTATATTGGCCCTCCTGCTGGCTTTCTATGCTTTCTTTTATCTCAGACTGTCCACGGATGTTGAGCCTGATCTGGACCCAGATGAAGATTAGCTGAGCAGCAATCAATATTTGAAAGGAAAATAATTTTATAAAAGCATCCACTGGGACCAATACTTTCTAAAGTACTGAAACTACAACATCTTCAATATTTTCTTTTGGTACTTTCAGTTTGCTGAAATAGCTTTTTAAAATAGTTGTATAGGATATCAAGAAAAGAACCTTATGTAGCAATGTAGTATAATGTAAGCTACCAGATACATTTATAAATCTGTCAGTTTTGACAGGCTCCCTATACATGTTGCATTTAGATAAAATGGATAACATCCAAGTTTTCAGATGTCTTACCTAACTTACATGTATAACTTCATCACTTACAGATTATTTAATGTGTTTTTGTTCTATATACATCATAGGTAAAAGTATGTATCCTAATCTACAGGAACATACTCAAATCACATTCAGAACCTAAGAAAGATAGAGAAGTCATGGGAAATTTTTCTCTTACAAAGAAATCCTGCTTTCTTTCCAGGCATATTTTATATCATTAGAGAGACTATCTGCACATACATCTACAGTAATCTTTTCCTTCTTTGCCAACTGTTCAGTGCACATGTGCTCCGTCAGAAATGGCACCTGGATGACAGAAGCTCAAAGAGTCACATATGTCTCTAAAATAGAGTTCCTTTCCTCTTGCGCTGCCTGAACTGGTGTAAATAGAAAGTTCGGTTGATCTTGATTTTAATTAACTTATTACTCTATTAATACAAACTTGGAATTCTATTTTAATTATGTTGTTCTGGCTGCCTGCAGTATCAGTTTGCCCTTCTTGTTAGAGAGATATGTAACAATCTGTCATTTAATTGTGCAGTCTTTTTCACAGCACAGAATAGCAAAAGTCTTATCTACTCAGAATCATTTTCTTGGGTTGTGTCCTAAATCTGAACAACACAAAGTTGTTTTCCAAATTTACATTTTATCTTTTAAGAGTTAATCAATTAAAATTCTTTAGGGAAAATAAATAATAGAAGAAAATATGTATCTCATAATACTCTCATGTAGTTTTTTTTTAATATAAACTTTTCAATGTATTTTCTACTCATTGGAGCATAATGATTAGGATATTCAACTTTCTTGATAATCAAATTTTACTACATTTTAAAAAGACATGAAAACATAAAGCTTAGAAAAATGGAAATTATATATCCATAGAAGAGTTGTTAACTACTACCTTATATAAAAATACATAGAAAATAGATATTTTGAGATATCTGCATAATGTATTTCATAGTGTACACATGGTATTTATGAAGAATAAATACAGTATTCAGATTGTTTTCATAGTGGCCAAGAGACAAAAGTTTTGATAAATACCCCAGGAGTATTATGGCTTTATAAGAATTTCTTAAAAAAAAAACATATCTTTGGTACTTTTGCAAAAAGTTGAATATGACAGTGTAACATTATGCTCTGTAGAGTTTTTTAAAGTAGCATAATTTATTTCATCAGTGTGAAAACAGCCAAAGGTTCCAATACCCTCACAGATTATTTATGCCAAACATCTGAGGACAAAATTTAGCCAGTGTTATTTACTGGATTCTTCTCTTGAACTCACAAACTCAAGAGACAGACCAAGAGTTCTTATATCCTCACCACAGTGGACCAATCCAAGTGGCATTTTTAGGAAAGGTTGCAGCATTTTATGCCATGTGGTATGTCTGTTCGCAAAGTGGGAGGCAAGGGAATATCCAAGCTGGCATTTTGGATATGATGGGCCTTTTACTTTCCTGAGTGACATGCCACATGTCAAGAAATACTGCTTTCCTCTACTCCCATCACATTTACGTGAACAATTTTCATTTAGTTATTTCCCTCCCATATGGTGTTAAAAACAGTCATATTAAATAAAGATTATTCCTGGTTTTCAGTTTTAACTTAAATGAGAAGATATGTAAAAATTGCTTATTAGCTACCCATACAAGTGAGATATTAACAGGGTTTACAGTATTTAAAATAGATAATTATGTTTTGGGAAATGTTTGAAAATTTATCATATTGAGAAAAACTACCATTCTGTTCAATTCATGAGGTGTTCTTTTGGGGGGAAATGATAGTAATACATGTTAGCCTAAATATACTGTAAATATAGGCAAATTTTATTGCCCAGTGTTATTGATACCTGAGTCAATAGCTAGTCCATTTGTATGACTGATTGATTTATGATGGCTTCAGAAAACCATAAATCCAAAAGGTTTAAAGCTTTGATTTCAGTAAATAGCAGGTAACATGAGATGATATATGTTTACACAACAGTTTTTGTGAAATACAAATTTTGTGAACTCACATTACCTGGGAAGCAGCCAATATTGTAAAGAGAAATCCCAGATTGAAAGTCTGGTTTGAATCTTTGAAGACGGAAAGGTGATATCTTTTGCTGTTTCGGGAGATTGCACTTTTGAATAGTGAGTGGTATTTGGCAAAAATCTGAGACTGGCATCAAACAAATTTTAGACAGGTTATTTTCCCTCCAATAATTTACTGCTTGGAATAATTCAGAAGACAAAAACAGAAAAAAAATTATAATGACTTTTCAGAATGTTCAAATCTATTTATTAACATACTCTGCAGAATAGATTTCCAACCAATGCTGGAAATATAGCCTATGAAATACTGTGAATGAAGTATGAAGAGTTGCTGATTCTTATTTTTCATGTAAGTTTAGACTAGGGTAAAGAATGTATAAATTATCTGAGGGGAAATATTGTAAAAATCTAACCTCATCTAGTATTTCTTTTAAAACTATTTCAACAAAAATGTAGGATTGATGGTTGTTTTAAGGGAGCAAAATATATAAAGAGTATCTCTTATCGGTTTTTCATAAAGACAGAAGAAATGTTCTCATCCTAACTGATGATTGTAAGATCTAAAATATCTTCTTACTCATTTCTGTACAATAGCATAATAATCTGCACATAAATTTAATAAATGCATGTTAAAATTTAAGCTAATGTATTTTAGTTCTGAGTCTAGATTTCTTGATGTATAGATGATCCAAAATTTTTTAATTTAATAAATAAAATTTAAACATCATAATATTAATCAACAGCATTTAGCATTTATGAACTTTGGTTGTATTGCGATACATATTTTTATATCTACAAATATAGGGTTTTTTTCATTCTGATTCTCTTGAAAATTAAGATAACTAGCCTTAAGGTTGCTACAAAATAGAAACATTGTTTTTTCTAGTAAATCAAGTATGCATATTTATTTAAAAACATGCTCAATGTTTGAATTCAACTTAGCATGCGTCTTCTCTCCAAATGAAAATAAATCTAAAATTTTATTATAATGTTTATATGAATATTAAAGCATTTGCAGGTTCTAAAAGTATATAATCAATGATAATTCAATAGAGTGACTACTGCTTTGAGTTTCAGAAATCAACTTTTTGAAATTAAAACTTATTCAATTTTAATGTATTTCATCATAACATAAGGTTCTTGAACTAGAAACTACCTAAGATAATGTTATATTCTCTCCTTAACAACAGTTAGACTTCTTTACACTTACCTGAGGCTTCTCTGAGAAGATTCCTACCCCTTCTCCCTTAGCAGCACTGCCTTCTTTTATTACAATTACTTCAATGCAGTCTGGATAGAATGTGTTTGCTAGATTTTGTTCCTCTGACACCATATCTAGAATCAGTACAACCAATAGTAAAAAAAAAAAAAAAATTAAAAAAATGTAGCAGATGAATTCAGAACCCACAGGAACATTCTTATCATATTTTTGAGGTTTTGACTATAAAGGTAGGTATAGAGGGAAATTGGAGAGTCATGTAAAAAAACTATGGTAGTATGGAAATATCCATAGAAGATCAGTAATTCATTTAAAACAATTGAACTGCAGCCGTAGTCAGCATAGTGTCTCCTTGTTATACGTTTTTTTTTTTTTTTTTTTTTATCCTTAGCAACAGATATGAGATCCTTATTTCAAGAAAAATAAGATACTTTACATGCCAGAAGATTTTTTTTGATGATAGTACCCCCTCCTATTCTTCATTTTTTAAAACAACAACCAAATTGGTAGGGAGGCAGCCAAAATTTGAGGTACCAATGCTTCTCGAACAGATGTCGCACCATTATTTTTTAGCTCGTTTAGATGAATAAACATGTTAAACTGTGAAGTATTACATTTTAGATTTTTTCATTAAAAAAAGAGACAATCTGTTTACTGTCCTAATTGAGACAACAATCCTTGTGGTTGCCAGTTTTGGCAGTCATAACAATGAACTATAAATATTTGGACCAATCAAGTAAATGGTGACTATAAAGGCTATAGCATGTGTAAAGTTCTGTTTTCACGGGCACCCCTCTTAGTATGGCATTTTTTTCTGACTTCTTCAAATACAATTGTTTGTGTGAAACTGAAGGTTCAAGATAAGCCTAAAAGAAATTGATTTCAATATCTAATTTCTTTCTAGTTTATCATCCCTTTTAGTGCTCAACTATCCATCTGCTTGTAACAAATTGCTTCTGCAGTTGCTCTATTGAATGTGACAAGGCAGGTCTTCATTGGATTGCCTTCTCTGTATGTTCCAGGGTACCACAAAATTCAGAGTTTTTTTTTTATTTTACTTTTTTTCATATTTATAAAATGAGGTTAAAAATATTTAAGTTTCAAATTGCTGAAATTAGTTTCTTTTTCAGATGAGGTTTTTATGAACAAACATTGCTGGATGTAATGCTTAATAGAATGACCTTGAGGAGATCATGTCTTAGCCTCTACTAGAATGGTTTACTTGAAACACCAGTGTGAGAGAGTTGGTAGACTAATGAGACATAAACAATTGGTGATGCTAGTGCCGAACATTTGTAATCCATGCAGGAACTGTTCTTCCATGCATCTTATTTGAGTGCTTCAGCTCCCTTCTCCAACTTTTCCTTTTTTACCCTGTCTCTCCCTGTTCTGAGTTTGGGCAGTCCCTAAAGTTCTCTCCCTGTTGTTTTGAACTCCAGTGGTATTTTGGTGGATTAGCACTCTCTCCTACT